GGTCCGATTGCTCTTATTAAGATCGAATCGGTCCCGATTGCACTTATTATGCACACGCGATGATCGTCCCAAGCAATCGATGTCATTGGTCCCTGAATGCTTGATATTTCAAGCAATCAAGATGAATCAAGTCCTGGATCTTGCTTATATAGCAATCCGAATAAGCGATCTCTCTGCACCATATTTGAGCACTGTTATTTGACGCACTCTTTAGATCGTTTGTGGACTTAGCTTGGCCCTGCTATGGTCTCTGAGAATGGGATTTCGGATTGCTTAAATTTTTGTAAGGTTCACTTGCAGCTCAGAATACACCCAGAGTATTGATTCCAGAGCATCTAGTCTGTTTTTTTAAACAAAAAAAAAAAAAAAAAACAGAACAAAAAATTAAACCCAAACCCGCCCTCCGGGTCCCCACTCCCCCACGGCCTGTTGCAAAAGCAGCTCTCGGCTGTTCTATAAAAGATCAAGAAATTGGGAATCCTGATTGTAAGGGGCAAGGAAAGTGCATTTTCCTAGACTTTCCACAGACAGCCATACTGTGTACTTAGAAGTTGAAATCCAAATGGTGACTATAAAGATTACGTCGGTTCCATAAGTAGCATTGAAGTAAACCACTTTTAAATCTAAGCGCATGTATAATCACATAGACTTTGATCTTAAACTCGCATGATTGTACTTGTTTTCTAAGCCACATTTGTTAATGTTCTTGAAGAGTCATCGACACAGTATTTGAATGTCGTGTGTGTGTTGCGTGCTGTCGTAGCGCGTTTCTGTGTTCTGATGTGTGCCTATACTCTTGGTTGTGCTTGCGCGCCTTCAACCGGACACTTACATCCATCCTACGACCTCATCCCCTGTTACGCATATGATCATTAAGTATATTTCTAATGCTGGGTCATAGTGGAAGGACCGTACCATTAGATTTTAGTACCAATTAGAATTAACAAATCCAGGGAGCAAAAACAATCAAAAAACATCCATAGAATAATGACATCCCCAATGAAGATCATAATACCATGACGTAAGCATCCTACCAAAAAAAAGACAGGCGATGTCGATCGGTTCAGCCTACATATAAAACAAACCAAGGTCAACGTCATCCAGGTTTTACTCATAGTACGCAATTCAGCCTATTAAACGAATCACAGGCTGTAGTGATGCGTATGCAGAAGGTATTGCACTCCATGAGACGAATGTCGCTGCAGTTTCGTTCAGAATCGCCATGAATGTCCGTCCTCCGATTCGTCCGGGCTTTCAACGTTATGGCGCAAACCTTTAACCGCTCGACGTACGATCTTGATATTCGGGACGTCATCCATTGGGGCTGTGCCGGGGCGGACTTCGAAAAGGACTCGGAGATGTTCAAATTGTGGGGGTCAAGGGTCAAACCGTATCAAGACGCCGCTTGTGCAATGGAGGGGACATATTTCCCCCTTAACTTAAGGTATAGTAGGTGAAATACGAAATGCGGACAAATCTCAACGGCTCGACGCGCTCGTGTGTTAGTCTCATGTGATGGGGAGGAACCCATCCCACGTGCGAAATTGGAGGTCAGGTCAAAGGGCAGTGGGGGAAAGGTCAGATATTCAGAACATTTTCTGAGGGACATGGTCTAACGGATCGATCGTGCGAAATATTTTTTTGGTTTCAGCGTGACCTTTACCATTTTATTCACTTTATTATTGAATAAGGCCATCCAAAGGACCTTTCCGGTGACGTGGCGAAGAGTTAACGTGTTTGATACCCTTTTGACCTTCATAGAGTGAGGCTGCTCATTATAAAACATGGATTTGCTGATGTTTAACAAGGACTGACTGCTTTTGCTATTTTAGATACTCCCTCCACCCGGCCCCTCCCCCACCCTCCTCTCGACCAATGTCCTCCATTCTACCCCAGACCTCGACGCCCCCTGCCACACTACGCACAGATTTCTATTCGCGGATGTCAACTGCGCCTTCTATATTTATCTCATTATGAAATTTTTAATTAATTAATTAAGTAACATAACTATTATAATCAATCTTATTTAGCAGGACGCCCAGCGCATCGGCGAATTTAATATCGCGATGTGCGTCTATATTCTCCGCGATGATAAACAAAGATATATTCTTGGCTGAAGATTATAGACCTTGAGCAGTGTGCTGATATCTGCGAGCAGTGTTTGCAGGCTGCCGTAGAGTGCACCGTGCCTGGCGTCGTAGTGGGTGTAGGCTGGGACTCTAGAGAGGTGGTCCAGCTTACTCGATCTCTATTTTACTTGTTGTTAAACTATACGCTACGTTGTGTTGTGTTGTACAGATTCGCATGTACTATTGGAATTTGCTGTTGCTGTACGTCTGCGCGTGACCATGAGTCTGATAGATTTGTTTGATTCCAATAGGATGTGTGCCCATCCGAGTGCGGAAGTGTGCAAGAACAAGTATAGACACTGTGCCGTTGCTAGAGCCAGGGTTGTAAGTGTACGTATGCCTTTACTATTTCATACTGATATTATTAATTAGTTTCTATGATTAGCAACCGTAGCCGCAGGTATTGCATGTAGAAAGCAAGTGCTACAGACAGGGGCAGCCGCTGAAAATATGCACGTATTTGCTCTCGGCAGAAGAGCTTATTAACAAATAACAGCCTAGAAGTTTATCGAACGAATTCTTCACACTATCCATGGAAATTTCACGTCGAATGCTGTACAGCTATACGTATATATGCTGCAACTTCTGTGTAAACAGTCAGGGAAATATATTCCCTGTCTGCCTACTGCGCATGCAGGGATATGTCCCTCGCTTGTCAGATAGACACGTCATGTTATTTTCGTGTAGGTGTAAATATTTGCAGTGGAAAGTTTGTGTTGAGTGTTTGCTTTTACTTGTTGGAAGGGGTAATAATTGAATCCTGCATTACTGCTTCTACACAGATTAGCAGATGTACATGCGTGCACGTGTTTGTGTTCGTGCACGTATATATGTATCAGTGTTTCCCCTGGCCAAAAAGGTCTGTGAGGTGGTAAAATCTTTTTGGGGGGGTGTTTGCGAGTTTCGAGGTCTGGGGGCATGCCCCCGGAAGATTTTTGTAAAAATGGTATACAAATGTGCCTACATGTACAGCATTGCATAGGAATATAGGCGTTATTGCACCTACTATTCCAACTTTGAGAAGAGCTGGAAAGCAAACAAAAAATATTATATCTCCAATTTTTGTATATTATGTAGAAAACATGTTGATGTATAATTTTCAATGAAATTCATCTCAAGGTTACGTGATCCACAGGGTCAAATTCAAGGTCAAAGTAAAGGTCAAAAGGTCATCAAACTTTATACTGCTCTTATATAACAAATAATGACAGATTTGGATTGCCTATGCAATTAGCTTTCCAAAGACACCAATATTAACCAATTTGGCCTAGTAGTTACAGAGATATGACCATTTGAAAATTGACGGGTGCGTCCATTTTGGCCAAAATCGCCAAAAAAGGGCGTGGCGTAGCGCGAAAACCATTTGTCTGAGGGAGCTGAAATTTGAAATTTCAGCTTTTTCAGCCCAAATTACCTCACAAACCAAATTTAAGCCAATTTGGAAAGGGTAAGGTGTAACCCATTGGGTGATCTGACACGGAATGACCCTATACCGGACCGTACCCAGGGTACGTTCCGGCAGTACCCTGGGGGACATAGACCCTCTCAGCGAATCTATGCCTGTAGAAGTTTATTGATAGCTTAGCTTCATACATGTCCATTTATTGATCAGTATACATGTATTAAATGGAATTCTTGTGTGTTGTCTCCTCAGCTTAGAGTTTCGCCTTTGCTGTATCTGTTATTCTACTGATCGCGTTTGAATCATACCCAGGAATGCATACATCCACCAAAACCAGACACATTCTTCATTGACCACGTATTCAGGCGGGCACACGAACAAACGAAAATAAATTCCTTTGTTAGTACTATTTTTTTCACTGTGAAGCTTGGTAACGTAGTCAGACTTCACCCGTTCAATTTTTGTGGGAAAACATTGCTGCCTGCATACAGACATTTGTTTACAACAGAAGGGGCTTCAGTCTATAGGCATAGATATAAGCCGCGTTCACACGGAGCGAAGGAACTCGGGTCGAAAACGACCCGTGTCAAATGCGTCCCGGGACGAGCGGGGGTGAAAGGGGGCAACTGACTCTAGACTGTGGAGCATATTTATTTACTTGATATGATGTTGATATGTGTCTTGTACGTAACTACGTATATTTATCCTATAATGATTGGCTGGTATAAGTGACATAGCTCTGATGTAAATAACAATAAAATAAGAATAA